TTTAGAATTAATTATATAAAGAGATATACCAGGACAGCATTCTTTTAAAACATTAACGAGAGACTCAAAACTAGAAATGTCTTTCCCTTGTGCCACAACTCGATCTGCAGTTCTCTTACAAACGCCACCAATGCCATCAGGAGATCCCTTGTCGTGTCTTTAACACTTTTCTTAAGATTATTTTGTTTCTGTTTCAAATATTTTTGCTGCTCCTTCTCTTTTTGTTCTTGCCTTTTAACTGGATCTTCCCGTAAAATGAGGTAATTTTCAAACGCAGCATATATAAAATACAAATTAGGTATGTATGACCAAAGTACAATTTTGTGGCAAATTTTTTTTTTAATTGAACCAATATATAGTTTTAAGAGTAAAATAAAACACAGTTAACAGATTTTTTATTGTTGTAATACAAGTATAAAGGGAGATTTGGGAATGTACATGGTATTACCTCATCCTTTTATTTCAGCTTTTCCCTTTTTATTTTGCTCACAGTACCATCAGTAAAAATAGTCTCATAATATTTGATAATATCTTCTAAAAAGTATAGAACAGCATCATCTCTAGAAAATGCTTTATCGGCACTAGGAACGATATATATGCTACCACTGTTCTAAACGTTTAGTATCCCATAAAAACATTTACAATGACACAATTGGGTTCCAAAAAAAAATAACAGTAGCAACTCTTTATTTAACATTAAAACTCTAGAAAAAATAAATTTTCTTTTTTATATAGTAAGTTAAATTTAATGCATAATTAATTATTGTTGTTTGTAAGTCAGCATCTATAACTGTAAAATTTTACATTATATAGAAACATAATAAAATTGTTAGTAAGGGAGTACCTCAGGGGTGGTCCCATATGGCATCTGCACGTTTTTGAAGTCGGTTTTTTTTAATTTCTAATACTTGTTTTGATTCTTATCATCAATGTTTTAAAAAATCACTTTATTTTACCGACCTACATAGAAAATTGACTGCGCTGTCATTAGACATGACAACTACAGTCAATATCGCGAATTTTATAAATAGGACGGAAATTTGACCATTGCCGATTCGCCTACTTCTCTCTAGTCTTCATATGCTGCGTTTGCGAATCCACATCGGATGCATTTTTTACATCTCGAGCGTTTTTTTATCCACATCGGACACATCTATCCCATTACATTTACGTATACTGAATCACGTGATCAGAGATTTTTTACATCTCAGATGCATCGGATGTGGATTCTCAAACGAGGCAATAGGCTGGACAAGAAATAAAATAACAACTGAACAACTACATATCATATCCCTTTTTCTTCTTCTTATAAATCAGAAATTCTTCATTAAGTGATGGCCTTTTATAACATAACCCGTTTAGAAACCTTTTGTTTAACGTAAACGATGTTTCAGAAACATTTTCAGTGAAATATTTAACTAAAATATTTCAGAAACGTGTGCTTGAAATGTTATATGTTTGAAACGTTTGAAATATTTCTGAAACACTTCTGAAATAATGTGTGCTGTTTGTGTTTTGTAATTTTTTATCATAAATCTTTATAAAATGTTCACACAATTTGCATAAATTTATGACATCCTGTGATGGATATGTTAATCCTCTTCGAGATTTTTTTTTTCTATTAAAGAATTTAAAAAATTAGCTTTTTCCCCTATTACGACACTTAAACAATGTTCGCATTTTAATGATTTTTGCAAGTGGCAAGAAACAAACCCTGCAATATAAACAACAATCTGAAGTGAACATTCACTTATTACATTATGTATTCATGATCATCCCATAAAGATTGTAAAGAATATTTTTCTTGAGGTTCATTAATCATGAGTCCTTAATTACTCATATTTATATGTTATACTGGTTGACCTGTATTTCGGCTAGATCCTGCTAATATGGGTATATCCTCTAATGAAATACAGTTACCCATGCCCCCTTCTTGAATTTCTGCTTTAACTATTAATCTTTTATAGGCTGCAGTAAACTGCAAGTGGGGTTGTTATTCCAACCACGTCTTGCGCGAATAGAGGAGAACAATAATTCGATATGTTATGTTATGTTGATAATGGGGTGTTAATACACTGCGACCTAAAAGATCTATTGTGCCCCCTTCTATCGCCACTGCACTAAGGAAATGTCTCAATGCCTATAGCGACCCTTCCAATCCTATTTTCTCAAGGAAGTGTAGGATTTGAAGTGGCTTCAAGTTAGGTAAGTCTCCCTCTTCTATTTGATATCCTCCTAGATATAGTGCCCTTGGATTCTGGAGTGCTACACATTCAGTTAGGATGTGAATGGAGGTTTCGTCCTCCTCCTCACAGAATCTGCACTCACTATCCTCTACTACTCTCAGTTTACTTATTAGGTGTCCTTTTAGTCGGCAGTGCCCGATAAGGATCCCTGTTACAATACGTAGCCTGTTCTTGCTCAGGCAGATGCAGGCTTCCGATCTTTTTTGGTTATATTCACCCAGAAGTATCTTGGCCTGTCTCAGCCCCAAGAGATTGTTCCAATTATCGGTTCTTCTACTACCCAATTCTTTTTTAATCTCTTCTAATATTATGTTACTGCTGATACCGCAGAACGGCTCAGGTCCTACAAAGGGTGTTTGAGCCCCTTTCCTTGCAAGACTATCTGCAATCTCGTTACCCTGTACCCCGTTATGTCCCGGGACCCAAGTGAGAGTAACTCTATTTTTCTCGCCTAGCTCATTCAATTGTTCTAGGCATCTCCATACCATTTTTGAGCTGATTACGTAAGAACTCAGCGCTTTGTAGGCTGCTTGACTATCGGACATGATGATAATCTCTTGTATGGTCTTGGCTCATTTTATAAATTGGAAGATAGATTAATTTCTTTTTATCACAAAGCATTTCATTATACATCAATGAGGCACTTTTTAAAGAAATTATAAAACCTATAAATCCCGTTTTGAGACTAGAATGTATAATTAATTCCTCTGTAAATTTCTTTGTAATTTCAATATTTTTTCAAAAAGTGTCTTTTTGAAACCTGGTGGATTTAGCGACCTACTATTTAAAATATCAAATATATTATGTACAGTCTTTATAAATTTAATTGTCCCAGAGCAACCCTGAAATTCTTCCAGTTTTAATTCATCTTGACAATAACTTAAAGGATCAGCAACAGATTGGCTCAATAATTGAACTGCTAAAGTGAAGACCATCTGCATTTTGTAAATTGTCTAATTTTTTTTATACATTCCCACCTTATAAAATTGCCTTCGCCATCTTTAAAAATTTTTCTTTCCCCAAAAGTATTTCTGATTAATTTTAACATATGACAGGGATCAAATAAAAGACATCTTTTTTTCGTAAACATGTGCACCCGTGTGATAATTAATTTAATACACTGTGAAACTACTCCACATTTTTGCGTTCCATTTAAACCATTTTCAAAAAAATAGCCTACCGGTAATTTCCATATTGTATTAACGCCAACAACCATTAAAACAAACACTTCTTTTGCAACTTCAGATGCAAATCTATACCATATTTTACTTACCCATGTATTTTTTCCATCCTGTTCAACGTTACATATTTTTTTAGTGTACTAAGGGCCGATTCCACCTTTGTGTTAAACGGAGATTAAAATGACACTGTTAATGTAAAAATCTCATTTTAAACTTCGTTTAACACAACGGTGTAATCGATCCTAAGAGATTCTTTACTGAAGCCTGGCTCAGCATTGATATTTTGAAATCATTTACCTATAGTACTACGGTGAGGTAAGCAAGTATCAATGCTTGCCTAACATAATCATAGCCCTTAGGCGAAAAAAAAGCAAACTAACGCAAATCAGGTGAATATTTACTTTTATTTTTTAATTTTTGCTTTTGCAATTCCATAACAATATTAGGCATATTGTCAAACACGCATGTTTTCAGAGGAAATTAAGTTTTTTTTATTCAATTCTTTAACATGAGTTTTAGCGAAACAAGTTTTTGTTTAAGAACTTTAATTTGTCTTGTTTTTTTCTTTATTTTTTCTACCTGTTATCAAAGTTTTCTTCTAAGCCGTTTTATATTAGGACTCTCTAGGATAGATTCCTTCTTTGCAGTTGTATTTGAAGGGCCTGGCTCAGCTTCCAAATGCAATGCTTTTCTTTTTACGTCCTGCAAACAATCAGTTATTTCGGTAATGTTTTGAATTATACACAAAAGGGCTACTAAATTCCTAAAAGTGCATAACATAATAATGAAAAGTAATTTAAAAAATGTATATGTTTAATTATGTTTATTAGTACACGCACCTTCTTCGGCTACATTTAGTAAACGTCTTTTACAGTCTCATAAAAAAATGTCTTTCAAAAAATGGTTTGAACACAATCTATCATTTTCAATTTTCACTGCCTGAATCCAAAGATTTTTTTGCTGGATCCACAGGATAATAAAACAACAAATAAATATTGCTGCAATTAAATAAAAACATCAAAAGTAAATTAGAATTTAATAAAAGTTAATATTTAGAATTGTACGACACGCCTATGGAAAAATTATTTGTTTGACAATTTTGAAAAGCATAAAATAAACAAACTTAGTGGGTAAAATTTATTACTCTGGAGTGAGACATGTACAATATGTAAATACCAAGTTGTATAACACCAAATAAAATGAAAAATACAAGAAAATATATAAAGTAAAAACGACTGATGTTTATCATTTACCTGTGAAACGTAATATCTGTTTCTTTCTTGCCGCTATCACTTTTACACTGATATGCCACACAATAAACCATTGTAACAAACCAATTATTAAATGTCGTTTAATTCAAAAATCTTTCTTTATTACCTAGTCTAAGATACAGACAGAAAAGTAAAAAGCTGAAAATTACCAAAAAAGTAGAAATTTATCAAATGTGGCAACGCTGCCAAGAGAATCCCACCAGGAAAATACTCGCAAAGGACAATGTAAGATAGAGGCCACTTATTTTGACAACATACTAAACAGAAGAAGAACTAGTAAATTTACATGTCAACATTGTCAACGATTGTTTTGTGTTATTTATTAATAAATATTTTTGAATATAATTATTTAAGAAGTATGCAATAAAATAAGCTTTAAATTAATTATGTTGGAAGGATGGTATTGTCGTTCTATAGCTGACGAAGCTGCGGCTGCTGAAGAGGAAGAGAGGGTTCTAGAAGAATCAAAATTTAAGAAAGAATACAAATACCTTAAAAGAAAATTTCAACATTTAATATACGTTAGTATTAACTTAAAGCAATATTTACTGTTACTAGAAGTTGTTCTGTTTTTAGGAGAATGAGTCATTTCAACAGGCTCTTCGATTAGCCCAAAAAAGGCTTCTTCTAGTTACAAGAGATAGATCATTCTTACTGGACCGATTGCTCATGCATGAGAAAGTTGAGAACAGTACCTCGGAATCTGAAGACACTGAATCATCTGATGATGGAGAAGTAGTAAAACCAGAACCAATCAAAAAGTATATAGTTTTCGTATATTTGTAGGCTTATATGCAGAACAAATTATGTTGATAGTGCAGCAACATATTCAATTTTTCATTAACGCTTTAAACTCTTGACCTTTATAATGTCTAACAGGCACAGATGGGTTTTTATATTGTTTGTGCCCCAAAATCTTTTAATATGTTCAATAATATTGTTTAACTTTGAAACAATTTATAGAAATAGTAAACTAAGTACCTATATTAGCATGTGACAGTAAACCAATTGAAAACTGTTCTACTTGAAGATCCTGACTTTGCTGCAAAGGTGAAAGAATACCTATTGCAGTGGATTTCTAAAAATCGCCTTAAATGATTTCTATACAAGGGGTAAATCACTAAGGTTAAAACATACCTAAAATTGATTTTATATGATTTCAGTGATTTCACCTAAAATGCACCTTCATTTTATATTATGACCTTTTTTTGGACTCATCCCTTGTTTTTTGATTCACAAGTTGGTGCATTTATATTTTTGAGCGATGAATTTTATTTCTGTGACGATTTCGGCCATGATTTTTAATTATGATTTCAAAAATTTGTAGTGACATAGAGTGAAAATGTACAGGTATTTTGGGAGTGGTTCACCCCTCAGGTTATGCATTTGAGGTCATTTTGAAAACAACATGAGACAAAATAATTGAAGTTGATGTTATTCTTCTTAAATGTATCTCTACAAGATTTGTTGTAATCAAAATTAGGAGAATGAGTCACTTTTGAAGGACGAATATATGCCCAATTTCCATTGCTCAGCCCCACACAATTATATTGCAGCAAAATAGTTTATTAGGTTTTTTACAGAGTCAATTTTAATTTTAAAATTTAGTGTGGAATCTAATTCTATTCCAAAAAATTTTCATTAGTGAATTCCATAGTCCCAAACTTGCTGTTATTTAATGTGAAAGTTATGTTGTTGCTTTCCTTAAGTGTATAATATGTGAATTGGTTAAAAATTGTTTTATTTTTATTAATAATGAGATATATGCGAGAGATGCATGTTTTGATCATTGTGATGGTCTCTTAGAAATGGCAAGCATATGAATGTTATTATGTGATCAACAAGCTTTAACTTATATGTGTAAGAAAACTGAGATAAGGGAGGTAAGAGCACCAGTAATTGATACTTTAAAATTTAAACTCCTAACGGCCAATTTCATAATCAATTTAAAGGACACTTTAATTTTAAAGTATCTTTTAACCATATAGTTTAAATAGCTTAAAGTCTCCTTTCATTAAAGGCCACTTTAGCTATCGATTATGAAATTGGCCGTAATAAGGGCATGTGTTCAGATTTGTACATAATTCTCTGCCAGGACGAAAGTTAAATGACTGGCAAACATTGTAAAAATGCTCGAAGGTCACACTTTTAGTCAGGAGGCAAAAAATGATGTATGTTGTGTCAAGCACATAAATTTCGATTTTTTTTTCCAAAGACATTTATTAATGTAAGTACATACATTATAAAATGGGTTGTTACTTTTTAAATAGTTAAGATATGTGAATAATATTTTGTGTTTTGTGTAAAATATCTTTGCATTTAAATCACATGTTTTGGTAAGAGTGCATTGCTTACTTGGATTCAAATCTAAATTTTAGTTTTTTTTTTATAAGGATAATTTCGTGACCATAATAGAATTTTATAAATAGATAGATCTTTATTTAATTTAGGAAACCCTAATATACATAAAATAGAATAAGTACACACCAAACAAAAAATTAATTATATTGATACGAAACTAAATTTAATATAAGTACAAATGATAAAAATAAGATAAGATATAAAAGCCTAGTCATTAATTAAAAATAATTTTTAAAAAATTTGAACAAAAACACTAAACTTGAAATAACGACATAAACTACAAGTTTTTGATATGTTCATTAATCAATATTTTAAAATTAGAAAGATTGCAGGTACAATTTTTTTATAGAAGTTGTGGAAACCTTTAAACAACAGTGAATTCATTATGCTTCGATAAAATGTTCTACTTATGTGTATGTCATTTAAACCTCTGGTATTAAATGAATGTTTTTATTAAAAGAAATGTATTCTTGGAAATATTCAGGTGCACAACCATATACTATTTTGAAAACCAAAATCATGGTAAACAGATAACCAATTAAGGAAATTTAACATAATTCTAACTGGAGCATGACGATTTGTTTTTAGAATTATCATCCTACGATTTTGCAACTTTTGCGATATGTTGAGTTTGTTGAGATTGAATAAGAATATAATTGATGCAACAATAGTCAAAATGAGGTTGAATAATAGCGTTTACACTGTAAATTTTAATTATTTATTTATTTTTTTGTTTACAGTACGCTACTGATGCATAAAGTTCTAAATGGTACATTTATAATATCAATTAAAATAAAATAAAGAAATTAATAAAATTGTCACAATATAAAAATGAAGTCAATAGTGTAATGAAAGTTGACGCTTTAAAGAGAAACCTGTATTAAAAATGTCATAATTTGAAAAATATTTATTGTAATTGGACATCAGTCAGTGTACAAATAAATTCTGTCCATGAGTATGAGTATTTATATAAAATAGTTTAATTTGCCTAGTATGTCTTGGAAGGAACAAGGAATCTAATAAAATGTACCAGACTGTCACTATCAATCAAACTGTTCAATAACTTATACAGGAAAACAAGCAATGCTTCTTGACGTCTGCATTCCAAACTCTTAAGTCCGCTCAACAGAATTCTGGTTTGGTAATCTACATTTTGCGATGGAAGCCTATGTTTATATAGTAGATACTTTGAAAATTTATTTTGCACTCTTTCTAATTTATCAATATGACAATTGTAGTTAGGTGCCCAAATCACTGAGCAGTATTCTAAAATGCTTCTAACTAAGCAGTTGTAGAGACTCTTTAGAGTTGCCGTATCATAAATGTGCTTGCTGTTAATTTTGATAAAGCCCAGCAGTCTAAAAGCTCTATTTACAATTTCTTCCAAATGAGGAATAAACAATAGGTCCTGTCAAAAATAACACCAAGATCATTTATCGTTTGCTCAACACAATTCAGAAGCTGCAATGACATAATCATGCACAATGATATTAGCTGTTTTATTAATCGTTACTACTTTACATTTATCGATATTCAGTTTAAGCGAGTTATCGTTGCACCATTGAACCAAATTGCTGAGATCTGGTTGTTTGAAAGGTCATTGACGATTGGAAAAAAATGTAGGTCATCTGCATATAGGAGGCAACTGGAATTATGAAAAGTATGAACAATATAGGTCCTATATGCGAGCCTTGTGGCACACCTAAATTTACCAAAATTTCGCTAGAATGGAAACCACATAAATTCACTCTCTGACGACGTTCAGTTAAATAGGAAGGAATAAACTCAAGGTAGTTGCCGATAATACCCATCCTCTTCAATTTATCTCAATTGACAAGTTTTGAGATGTTCAGCTAAAAAATACAGCTTTTTCGATATTTTTTTTGTAGATATATTCGAAAGTGAGTATCAGAACTTAAAACATTGTCAAGCTGAATTTGATTTTTTTCATTGCTAATATTTAAAAGCATGCTGTTTATCAAGTAAGCTATATTTATATTTCGTGGTGAAAATCATTGCAGTTTTTTTTAACATTTAACATCAATTTGTTTATTTTCAAATATTTATTAACCTTGTCTAGAATACTATTCATTTTCTGAATGGCTACATCCAAATTTTCATCACTACAACAAAATATCAATATAAACAATAAACAAAAGTAAGCCTATAACACTACCTTGTGGAATTCTAGTTTCATTATCCATTTCAGATTATACCTGATTATTAAAACGTACTCTCTGTTTCTAAATTATTTCTAAGCCACTCGATCACTGTACACTGTACTGCTTAAGTTTAGAAATCAATATTTCCCTGTCGATTGTCTAAATGAATAAAAAGTTCCTCGGTTTAATCAGTGAATATTTTTTATTATTTGTTTCTGATTTTTCCATCTTCTGGTGCAGTCAATATATTTATAAAAATATGGCGGACGAATACAAACAGTTTAAAATATTTTTAAATAATAGAAAACCCATCTTTCTCTTTCACAGCATGTTTATACTAAATTTTAGGGCACTCATAGACATATTATTCTCCAGTATTCGACATTTTTGTAGATTACTGGAGTATTATGGGGCTACATTGTTTAACTCCTTAATGCTGTCTTTATAGTGTCAATAACTGGGGCGACGATAACTAGTGAAAGTGTCTATAACTAAGACGAAGATAAATGGTGAAACTGTCAATAAGTGGGGTGATAACTGATGAAGGGATGTTACTAGTTTATCCAAAAATTACATTAAAGCACCAAAAATGTTGTACTAGTGTCGATTACTGGTGCTCTTTACTTACACCGAAAATATTTTATTGGCATTCATTTCGAGAACATGTGAAATAACATTCCTGCCAATTTTTCAAAAAATAAATAGGGGTATGTCAATAAAACGAACTGAAGCAAAAATTGATAGATTTTGTTAGAATCTGATGACAAATCTTGCATTCAAACACTCGGGAAAATAGTAAAGCGCGCACACACACCAAGCGAAAGCGCAAGCACAAAAGTTTGTGGGGCCAGTCGCTTGAAAAAACTCCTGGTGCAAAAGGGTTAAGTAACTAGATTATATGAATTGACTTGTGTGGTTTTTCATTGGAACAATTTTTTTAACCAACTTCACAAAATGTAGTGATTCTCAATTCGTCTGTTTTTTTTATCTATGTTCAGCGATAATTCTTTACACCACGTTGTCTGATTTTTATGATTTGTTAGAAAGGGGTGGTCTCATATAAATTTGGTCAAGATCTATTGATGGCGTCCATAAGAAAATCATCAAACTCTTCATTTTTTATGTAGCGATAATTCTAGCACGTTGTCCGATTTTTATGATTATTTTTTGTTTGAAAGGGGATACCTCAGGGGTAGTCCCATAAACATTTGGTCAAGATCTGATAATGGGATTTATCAGAAAATCAGCAAACTTAATTTGTAATGGCATCTGCAGGTTTTTGAAGTAGGTTTTTTAAAATTAGTTTTATTATTTGTTTTGAAAGGAAATAAGAGCAAAAAATCTACATCAAAACTTTTAATAAAACTTATTTTTAAATGTAAGGAGAATGTAACATTAAGCTTAGATAAGTTGATAAGATAAATTAAGATGCCATCTTAAAAAACCGACTCCGATTAAATGTCCGTGCAAAAACAATACAAATCGTCATCGTATATGGTATTTGTAAAGAATGCGAAAATTTAAAAAGGTTATTTATGTAACGAATAATGCGGCTTGTGTAATTTTTGCACATAACATGTAGGTATCCCTAACAAGACTTTTCAAGATATAAACCTAATTTTGCCAGATTTTGACTTATGTGGTTTTTGAAATGACTGATTCATTTGAATTTAAGACAGTTTTAAATTATCACCTTTGTTCGCACACTTGTTTTCATGGTTGGAATGAGTCATGACATTTATAAAAAATCAAAGTCCGACTTTTTAAATTAATTTAGACTTTTTTTGAATTAATTCAGAGTTTAAAAATCAAATTTTATTTACTCACTAAAACAAAATTTAAAAAATAACGATGTTTTTAATTTCTTCAAAAATTTAAAGCATGCATTTTTGCAAAATACATTTATTGATTTGAACTCAAATTATTTTCAAATATTTTCGTCCACTGATTTTTTACAACAATAAAATGACTAAATTTAACTCATTAAAATAAATCAAAGGTCACTGTCGGTCCCGAAAATAGTTAAAATTCATGATAACATGCTAACTATTCTACATCTAAATAGTAATGAATAATTTTATAATTCGGAAACAAATCTCAAAAATACCCCTACGAATTATTAAGACCATCCCGAACCCCACAGGTGAAATCAAATAATTGGTGATTTGAAAATAAATAGTAATGCTGGTATTCTTGGTATCTCCTTATAGTGTTTTCCTTTGGGTATTGTGGCTGCTGCATGGTTTTCAGATGTTTATTGGTACTCGGTTCCGCTTGCCAGATATTTCTGTTTGAAGTTGATAATACAATTTGTTTCATATTGGAAAAAGTTTTGAAATAATTTGTGACTTTTTTAAAAAATGCCATTTTAATTAATTCATGAATTTAATCACTGGCTTAATTCATATGAATTTATTGGTACCAATCATGCTTGTTTTACTCAAATATTAAAAAGAAATAAGACTTCTACGCTGAGAGACACAAATAAAATATTTGAATACTGCCTATCTACGACAGAATATAATTACCCCCGAAGCTGACTAAATAGAATGCAAATAAACATTATTATTTGCATTCTATTGGTCGGGCGTGTTTTTTTTAAAGGACCCATCCTGAATATATATCTCAGAATATAGATGCCTATTAATTCTGATGCCTTGGTAGGATTCTCCACTCGACCATTCACTGTTGGGTACTAATTAACAGTGCTGTTCCTAAAGTGGCGCTGGGAAACAGTAACAAAACATGTACAGAACACGAGGCTAATGACCATAGCAGTTGAGGCCGATGGCACAAAAAAAAAGACTGAACTTTACTATCAGACTTGTGGAACCTACTCCTTTAAAAAGCCATAATCAGACCTGCACATTACATAGTTGAATTTGCAATGAAATTACCTATCCAATGAGGTATCACATTCTATTTAAGAAATGAGAGATGGTGTGCAGGGCTGATGGGTTGAGTGATCTATTTCTCAATGTTATATCAAAAGTTGTCCCCTTCAAAATAATAATTGACGTAGTTTGGAATTTTTATTATGATAGTTTTATGTATATTCTGAAATATTCAGTGTGGGTAATTTTTAAAAAATCACCCCTTATATATTTTATATTTTAGAAGAAAGGATGCTAGTTCACATTCAAATATACATCATGTAAATTCTGGTAAAGTAATTACTATAAAGAGGAAAAGGCCTCCTGCACCAAGACCCCCAAAACACCATATACCTCAAACAATGGTAAGTATGTAAATGTCATGATTGTTACACTTTAGACAAATAATTGTTATCATCAAACAATAATATTTCACTCAGTTTATCAGGCTGATCCAGAAACTAGAATTTTGCAACGTTTACATAATAAAGGACATCATAATCATTAAAAATTCATCTTTATGAAATGGTGAGCAGTGGGAAATTGTTGCAAAGTCCAAATTTAGCTCTTTTAAAATATTTAATTATTTATTTATACCTCCAACGACCAAGGCCCATTACAGAATGTGCAATATACATTAATAAACATTATGGGTATATAATACAACAAATAGTGAAAAACACATTAAAAAGTTAAACTATAGATAGCGAGATTGTGTGAGTAATCTGAAAAAAAATTCCAGTGGAGAAAAAAGATTAATCACACATAACGCATTTGAAACAAAGCTAGAATATAAAATATACTGATATAGAAATTCCTTACGTCATCAAATTTATTATCTAAATTAAACGATACAGGGGTGGTGAAGTGTCTGGAAAGTAAAATTTAAGTTAAAAATCAAAATGTCGGGTTTTTTTTTATGTTTTGAATTTGTTTTTGGAAAATATAAAATAAACGAGAATATACAAAAAGGTAAAAAGAGATTTTATTGCAAAGTTTGGAGAACAGATAGAGCAGTGAGAGGAATCGAGGCAGACAGAGGAGACAAGCAGTCCAAGAAAGTAGACTGTGAGCAGAGGAGACAAGGAGTTAAACATGAAAGGTAAAGAGAAGTTTCATTTTAATTTAAGCGGAAAGTGTAGCAGATAACAGAAGTAGCAGGTTGGAGTACAGAGGAGAAGCAGAAGAAGTAGGAAAAGCAGGACCTCTAAGAAGAAAAATTCAAATTTTTTTTTTTAAAAACAAATTTATTATAATTTGGTTTTAATCTTATATTGTAAATTTTTATAGCCGAACCCTTTTTTAAGAGTCTGGGCAAATTTATAAAAAAATCAATATACAGGGGGTTTCTATATCAATACATATATAAATTATTTTATAAGGAATATAAGGGACCCAGAATAGAGATTTTTAATATTTGAAATGCTAGTAAAAATAAATCAATATCTCCACTTAAAACATTAACCGTGGACAGCATACAATGCAATGGAGACTGACATAGTAAATTTGTTCTGGGAGTCGGAAGAATGAATGTGCAGCTATGCTTAGAATTGATTCTAGGCACAAAAAAGTTAAGCTGAGCACAAAGAGCAGGTCATTTAATTAAATGGTGTACTATTTTGTAAATGAAAATTATTGAATATATAATAGCTTCGTTCGCGGTAACAATCCTGAACTGATTCAGAATTACTAATTCATACTGTGAGCGCATGCTCGAATCATTATCAATTCTGAATTTTTACCGCGCGCGTAATCCCTATTATATCTCGGTATTTCAGGTATAGACAAGCGGTCCAAACCCAATAATTATTTTACCGCGAACGCAGAATAGAACCAACAGTTCAGTTCTTTTTGTTCCGCGAACGCTTTTTAACTACTGCGCCTGCGAAATCGTTACTGTTAGTAATAATTCGGTTCAGGATTGTTACCGCGAACAAAGCTAATTGCTACATTGAAATAAACTCTGCATTCCAAACATTGCTAAAAGCTGGTCTTGTGGATATCCCCTCTCAGGGTAGGTTCGATGAAAATAATAATGAAGACTCTTAATAAAACGTCGCTGAACCTTTTCTAAAGTTAAAACGTGTTCATTATAATAAGGGGACCATATTACTGAGACATATTCAAGCTTGGACCTAACAAGGGTATTGAATAACAATTTGCAAGTATCTGGATTATTTAAATCTTTGATAGACCGTAAGATGGAACCTAGAACTTTATAACACGACGCGACAGTTACGGCAAGTTGATTAACGAATGATAATTTTGAATCGAATACAACGCCAAGATCTTTAATCGTGTCAGGTCTCTGCAGGACGACTCCTCCTATATTGTAATCCTATCTTATACAATCAATCTTTCGCGTATATGACATAACGGTGCATTTTTCAGGATTTAACATAAGATTATTAATTATACACCAATTGTGAATTTTGTTTATATCAGATTGCAGTAACGTACAGTCATTGATGTTATCACTTTTGGAAATAAGCTTCAGGTCATCAGCATAGAGTAAATATTGTACATTTACATTATTACAAATATCATTAATAAAGATTATAAAACATAAGGGACCTAAAATGGAACCTTGTGGTACACTGGAAACTTGAGATATCAAGCGATATTTAACACCACTAATAAGGATATACTGGGAACGATTACTTAAATAGGAGAGATAGTGCATTGTCAGAAAAGTTCAACATATTCAACTTGGATGCGGGGGCGGCTCGTGACCAAAATTTAGGGGGTTCATAGTAGCAGAATATAGATCCCGGTACAGATATAGGTAAAACACTGAAAGTTTTTTTCATACATCTGTACTGATACCTATATCACGGCATAAGAAACAATCGGCAGGCTCACTAGCCGCTGATCGCATACAAATATTATACTAAGAAATGTTGACCTTGGCGACGCCATTCGGGGGTCTTAGTCAGTGTCGGATTAAAGCGTATTTAAAGATTTTGTAATAAAATAAGGTATTGATAGGCAGGATCGTATTAAAACAATAAAGCTCTACAGATTGCGCCAAATAATTAGCTTGTTTTTATTGATGGTCTTAAAATTTCTATTAATATTTTTAAAGTGTAATATATGAGCAGCCTTAAATATAACTTAGGACCGATTCCACCGTTGTGTTAAACGAAGTTTAAAATGACATTTTTACATTAACAATGTCATTTTAATATCCGTTTAACACAACGGTGGAATCGACCCTTAATAACATATATTTATGGAAATCGGGGACAAGGAGCGTCAAATGTTATCTCATAATTAATTAAATCTAAAAAAAAATTTCAAACGCCGGATTTAGTGTAAAATAATTCAAAATTGTGTTGAAAAATTATTTCAATTTTTGTTATTATACATACAAAACTATTATTTGACATTTTTAAATTGCCAAAAATATCTTCATTTGCTTTTTTTGTGTGCTTTATAATAACAGTACATGGAGCTTATATCCAAGTCTTCGTGTGGTAAGGCATATTGTGTACATACATCGCAACGTTGAATTTTAAGACATTTTTTTATTAAAAATCCGCATATATAATAAAATTGTCTTAAAAAATATTAATATTTTGTGCATGCAATTCATTAATATGCTTGTTTATATTTATATTTTCGACAATATGGCCACCATTACACGCGATTTTGGAAAATGGCTCATCCTTACTAGTCCTACGAATTTCATGCAGCCTTACAAGTAAAGCATCCCCACCGGTTTCACAGTTTTCAGTTCCAGAATGTAATAAATTTAAACATTGCAATTTTTTGAACGTCCTTTGAAATTGGACCGATGTAGGGTTTACACAGTTACCATCAGAGCTGGGACGAATCCTCGAAAAATGGATTCGAATCACGAATCCGAATCACGAGATGTGATTCGAATCACGGATCCAATGTTCGAATCCTTTAAAAAAAAAAGATTCTAATCCAGTGATTCGAATCCTTTTTTTCGGATCACGGATCCGAATCACTGTCAGTGTTATACTGTGGTATTAATTATACTCGTTGTAATGCTGCCAATTGTCTTATATTTGTTAAGGAACTTTGTTAGGTATACAATTCTGTAAAATGAGTTTTGACCCGTAAATAAATAAATAAATAAATAAAAACATTTAAAACTTGAAGCTGACAAACGAAGCTGGCTGTCACATTTAGCATAAAGGCGATTGCCTAAGTGACGCGCTCTACTGACTAGACACTCGTATAAGTATACAAATTGTTTAAACTTTACTTAAGTTTCCTTGTAAATATAAAAACACTCTAGTTGATTGCCGTTATTTATCGATTTTTCACAAGAATCACTAATTTTTAATTATATTTTATATTAATAACTAAAACTCATTTTAAACAATAAAAAAAATAGTCTACTTGACATTAAGTAATGAATTGTAATTGATAGAAAACAGAATGGATATAATTATATATTATATTCGTTCAATAGACTAATATGGCCCACATATTTATTTTGTATATCGTGCAAAATTAAATAATATACCTACATGTGGATGTGGATGCAGAATTTTTTTTCACTTACCTGTATTGAGGATCTATATCAGATTATTTGTTAATTCTGTAATCGTGTACAACGCCAAACACATCGGTTTTCTATTTAGTCTCAGTCTGTTTTAGTTTTTAGTTTACAATCCGCGACAAGTCAAAGCTTGAATCGGCCGTTCGCGCCGGCGTAGTTTGGTCTCTAAAAGGATCCGAGACTGATATTGATGATTCGAATACGAATCCTTTAGGATTTTCTCTGCGAATCCGGATCACGGATCCTTTTTTTCTAAAGTATTCGAATCCCGCTATCGGATCCTGAAAAAGGATTCGAATCCTATGTGATTCGAATCCTCCCCAGCTCTGGTTACCATCATGGAGGAAGGATAATTAAGAGTTGCAGATTCCTCACAGAAATTTGGCAGCATGTTTACCTTCAGCGACATATGGAATAGTTTTGTGCAATTAATACTCAGTCGGTAATGCTATTTTAGTTTAAAAATTGGCGGGCTTTTGAATTTACTTCGACAAAATATAAGAATTTTACATTTTTAATAGCACTGCTTAAGACACATGATTTTGATTGTATGTGACTCATTACTAATTTTTAATTTATTACTTATAATTTTTAATGGCTAATTAAGATTTTCTTGCTTTTTGTAATGAAAATACTTTAGATTTATCAAGATTATAAAGCTTTGTTATTCGCATATCTAGAATAATTATCTAAATGAATATCAGAATTAAATTTTTGTTAAGCATTTCAATATTTGGGAATAACACAATTACGATTAATATTCATTTTTTTCAGAAAAAAAAAAGTCATTCCTTACAAAAAAATTCTGCTTGTTGAAAAAAATTACAAGAAAAAGTTTCCTTTTAAAGTTATGAAGGAAAACCGACAGGAAAACTGTGACTTTTCTTCGTAAAATCAATAGGTAATACAGATTTTTTCCTTTTGTCAATTTTTAGTTTTTCATTTATTAAGACCATGTACACCTGACCTAACATATTAATATAGTAAACCTATTTTTTCGTCCAACAGAATTTTTTTATAATGACTTTTTCCTTAAAATAAAAATAAAGATTTTTCCATTTTGTCAACTCCATACGGTAGATGTTTAAAATATAACATTTTACTTTCAATATTAATAAAAACCTACATAAGTAAATATAAATTGACGCTAAACTTTACGTGACGTTAACTAGGCACCTACCTACATCTTACTAATAGGTTTATAACTGACAAACTGACCCATAACCTAGGATCTTTTTTAAAAGTATACCATACCTACCTAATAGGATATTTAAGAAACCGAAAAAATCTTTTAATACTGTTTATTCATATAGTTTTTTGCTGCACAACTTTGCCCAGGCATAGTAAAACACTTAAAAGTTAAAACAAATTAACACTGGAAAACAACTACTATATAAAAAGTGTCAAAAAATATCTATAATTCTAAAAAAATAACAATAACTACATAATACAAACATCACAAACAAAATAAATTTAAGATGCACGCTACTGATTCCGAGCTGCTGCAACTTGTTTGTTTTTGTCGATATAAACGACGACAGTGACGCGACTGGCTTGATTGAGAGGTTGGACCCCAAAATGGCGGTGTGCGCGTAGCGTTGCCGCCAAGAGAAGTTAGCCTGCCGCTTGTTTCTTATGCCGTGCCTATATTCTATCACTGTGAACCCCCAAAATTTTGGCCTCCAGCCGCCACTGCTTGGATAACAAAATTGGATGACCAAGGCGATCGAATGCTTTGGTGAAGTCAGTGTAGATCACATCTACCTGACCACCTCAGTCCAATATTTCGCTGATAAATTGAGTTTTAATAGCTAGGTTAGTAACGGTAGATCTCCCACGAACAAATCCATTGTTCAGGTAAAATCGAGTTTTCGATATGCCTGTAGAAAAATTTGGTAACAGTGATTTCGAATACTTTACTAAAATTGCAGATAATAGTGATTGGTCTATAATTTGTAATATCATTTCTGTTGCCCTTTTTGTACACCGGGACAATTTTTAAAATTTTCCATTTCTCGGGAAAAACAGACGTGGATATTATCAGATTAAAAATGATACTAAGCGGCTTAGCAGAAACAAATAAGCCATCAGGCACAAGAAACGCAGGAACATTATCTGAACCCATAGTCATATTTGTCTTGATTCGCTTAATTGACTCGATTACGTCGTCCTCGGAGATCTTGGGCATTACCAAAGCGTGGTTAGGAGAAATAACATCAAATAAGGGGGGATTAACATTTACAGGTTTGTCTAAAAATGAGTCACTAAAGTAGTCGGCAAAAGCAGATGCAATAGCGGCACTAGTTTCTAAATCAATGCCATTATAATACATATTGGCTGGTAGTGAGTTACATTTCTTTTTGGAAATATAGAATAACCAAAAATTCTTTGGATTTATTTTTGATTCAGCTTCGACGTGGGCCAGATAGTTTTGATGGGCAGTCATATTATCAGCTTTAAAAACAGATCGCAAATGTCTGTATTCATTAAGATCATCACCTTTCGTTTTTTTTGTATTTTTTCCCAAGCTTTATTTTTTAAATTCAGCTTGTGAATTAAAGGACCAGTAAACTAGATGGGGTATGTTTTATAACAAGGTTTCTTCTTTGGTACATAATAATAATAATACTCTCCCTAATTCACCCCCTTACGAGTGAATTTCAACCCCTGAAGTCGACTGAACGACTTGTGTAGGGGAAGGGACGGCTATTATTATTATTTGCCGTGGCGCTCCGGGGCGACTTAAAGATGATTGATGGTGCCATTTGACTTACAGGTGAGGAAAACCCGGAAAACCTCACCCACCATCATCGAGATGGTAATGTATGGCGAATTTTTTTAATCTGCATGTCATATCAACAGAAATTGAATTTCTATTAATACGCCACAGATCAAATCCTAAACCGAACCATGCAATTTAATTAAAAATCCACATGGTCTGGTCTGGGATTCGAAACCCAGCAGTCTCAGACTCGTAAACTTGCCTATAAATGAATATAAGCGCGATAGACCGCTACACCACCGTCCCGATATGTTGACCAAGAATATATAATTGGTCATAAAACAGGCTCAGAGCTTTATCAATGTGTGAAATGTTGCATAAAAATGTCCAGTCGACCAATAATAAGTCTATAAAGGGCAACAAAGTTAAATAAATAAAACAAATATATATAAAAAAGGTTAACAGCCATTACAATTGACTAACTTTTTTCTCTTACATGTTTTACACTTAATATTATATTTTTTTAGCAATTACAAATGCCTCCTAGTAGTAGTGCCTTATCAGATGGACATATGACACCTGAAGAAGTAGAAAGACATTTGCAAGCTCAAAGTTTCATGGAATTTCTTCCAGAAAGGGCACCTCCAACAGTTCCAACAGAAATGTTTAGCAATGAACCATCTCTTGACAGGTATGGTTTATAAAAATACTAGCATTCAATTTACGGATAATTTTTAATTAAATTTATTATCATCAATTTTTATGAGTCAACTGAATGGTTTCAACATGTCGCCTGAGAACCAGGGTATTCTAAGTCCATTTTTTTTTTAATTGATATTCTAGTATCAAAGCATTCTATGTCCGAAGCTCTAGCGACCAAACTATTCCATGTTACTCTGCGCCAATCAATTCAATACTTACAGAGAGTCCAACTTATACCATGTCCATCCAAAGTTTTTAATGTTCGAACCATATTAGTCTATGTCCTCACCAGCCAATAGGATTTAGCCATGTGAGGACATGGAATAATTTGGCATAGATATTTTAGTCAGAACATTTTGAACAACGTTTCATGTGTAGTGTCTGGGTTCACAGTGTTTATCGTGAAAATAAGTTAAAAATAATGAGCGATTCGGAAGAATACCTTTCGGAACTTTACCAGGATTCAGGGTCGGAGTATGAACCAACTACAACGAATAATAAACCAAAAATGTAAGTTATTAATTTCTAAAATATTATAGGTTAGAATGAATTTTCATAATTTTTTCAGTATCGATGCAAATGAAAGTTCTAGTGTCGATACCGATGAGAATTCTTGTGATTCCGATACTTTAATATGTAGGAATTTAGATAGTCCAAGCAAAACAGACGGTACATCGGTCGAATTAGACGGTCGGGATGATATGCCAGACGACGATGATGTTCAAAGGTATTTTAAAGGTTACGACAAAGAGGAAAAGAATACAAAAGTTGCCAAGGGCAGGCCGTTAGGGTCAGGGCTTTCAGAAGAAACTGTGTAAACTGTCGCTTTAAATGTCTGGACATTTTCAGTGAAGAAGACGCAGCGTTAATTCATAATGAATTTTGGACAAATACTGATGACGCGAAAGGACATTTTTACGAGAAAACAATAGAAAGATACCGGCTGGAACACCACAGAAACAAAAATGTGAGACAGAACTAAGAGTTTTTCTTACACGTATTTTTTCATTAAGAACGAACAGAAAATTCGCAAGAAATTTAACTTGGTAGTCGTAGATATAAGTCAGATCAGAATTGCTTATTTTTACAGTAAAAAGCGAACCGGAATCACAAGTACTCCCAGTCAGTACCAAAAAGGATGCTACACAGAAAATACAATTGGTGAGGAGCATAGATAATTAATCATAGATCACATAAATATGTTCCCTTGTATACCTTCACACTACTGTAGAAGAAACTCCTCTAAAAAATACTTAGAAAGGACACGATCCTTGTCAAAAATGTATGAACTTTATGCAAAGAGGTGCGAAGAAAAAAATTAGCTCCACAGAAGAAGTGGCTTTACTACCATATTTTTAACTTTGAATTTTATCAGGGATTCCTTGCTCTGAAAAAGGATTTATGCAACGTGTGCACAGAATATAATACAAAAAAGATGAACAAACATTAAACGAAGATTTAAATAAAAAATACAATGAGCATATAAAAGCTAAGCTAGAAGCTCGTGAAAAAAAAAACAGGACATAGAAGCCTGTAAGAATGTTTCGTCTACAACTCTACTATGTTTTGACATGCAAAGTGTTCTAGCATGCCCACAAACACAGGTTTCAATATCTTACTTTAAAAATAGTACGCTGTTTATAATTTTACTGGTAATGACGTTGTTAAAAAGACCGGTTATTGCATTTTGTGGCACGAACTGTTGGGTGCCAGAAAAGGTGTCGATATTGCAAGTGCTTTGTATGTTCTTGAAAAACTGTTGTCGGTTAGTCCTAATGTAACAAAACTGATTTTGTGGTCGGATGCATGCGTGCCCCAGAATAAAAACTCGCACATGTCGGCAGCTCTATTTTATTTTTTAAGTGAGCATCCTGAAATTGAGTGCATTGTTCAAAAATTGTAAGTCCCAGGTCATAGCTGTGTCCAGGAAGTTGACGCAATGCATAGTACCCTGGACCGAAATTTAAACAAATTGGAACTCCACAGTCCACTAGCTATTTACAAAGCAATAAAAAATGTTCGAGCAAGAAAGCCGTATCAGATAGTTCAGATAAATAAAAATAAATTCGTGTATTTTAAACCAATATTAAAATCTGTAACTTTGACAACAGTGCCGTACAAAAACTTAGTTCAGATTTCTTATAAGCATAATTCCAGCTGTGTTAAACGTACCAGACAAAATAATAAACAAGTGTTTTTTGAAAATTTTCCGAGGCCTACATACAGTTCAGCTCCCTCCTCCCATTTTGCCAGCAAATAAAATTGAACACATCAGAAGCTAGTCTAATCACTTCTCAGCAGTGGACTTGCAGTTTTGGAGATGCATTATAAACAATTTTTAAGTACCTATTTTAAATTACTAACAGCCGGTTGCAAGAACGATTGTTAAAATCTCTCGTTAGCTAAAGAACAAATAACTAACTGAGATTAAAACTGGCAACGGCGCTTTTCCAACTGACAGTCTGTCGCTTCACAGCTGATCACGGGAGATTTTTAAAATAATGAAGTCAATTTGGTAATATTTTTTCGAAAATTAATTACAAATAAAGTAAAAAATGAAATTGAGGCTCAACCTTTACGCCTATGGTTAAATGTTAACACTATCCCTATCTTTTTTCGACATCGGTTCATATTTTTTAATAGACAGAAGCAAGGACAGTCGGTTCAGAGAAAAAATGTTTTACACATGAATTTCTTAAAATAAATAGAATGGCTTAAATGAAGAAAAGGTTCCAGTAAGTCACTGGAAAATACTCATTTAACTGCCCTTCTAGTAGTGCTCGATTAAAAATCTGTGATTTGTGGTTTAAAGCAACAGTATTTAAATATAGTTTGTCCCTTTTATATAAACTAAAACTATTTTTTCTTGTACTTACTTTACATTTTCTCTTCCCGTTTGCCTTGGAAAAGCATATTTCTTTCTAGTGTACATTATTTTTTCAAATAGAAGTACATGATTAAAAATATGTTTAGTTTTTACCATGTGTGCAAACCCCATTTACTGTGGTAATTTCCAATGTATTTTCTATTTTTAACAGACTTCAAAAAAGAAGTAGGTTCTCAATTCATCGGAATATATTTTTTTATGGATATTCAGCGACAATTCTTTACTATGTTGTCCGATTTCTGATTATTTTTTTGTTAGAAAGGGGGCTCCTGAGAGATGGTTTCTTAATATAAATTTGGTAAAGATCTGATGATGGGATTCATGAGAAAATAATCACTCTTCGTATTTTGTAGTCGTCAGGTTTTTTAAATTAATTTTGTAACTTATACATTTTTCAATGAATCAAAGTAAAAAACTGTTTAAATTGGGAAATTTCTAAAGTTCAGTATCTATTTTTTAGTTAGAAATGGAAAACTGGAGGAGAGATGGTAAAATCTCTGGTATGAGAAATAAATTCACATTTGACCTATTCTTGAAAATCATATACAGTTCCTTTAATCCCTTCAATTTGGATGCTATATTTCTTTGCTAATAAACTAATGCTAGAATTTATTTTTTATTTAAGAACAACTTTTTATTTGTACAATATTGGAATTTCTAGATTGTTGAGAAAATTAAATAATTATATGATAATTAGCTTTTATAGGTTGTGTAATAGTCGAAATTTAGAATATTAAATAATTACTATGTATAAATTACACTTATTTACCTTAATATATTTGCTTTCACATTTATAATTCACAGATTTGTAGGTCATAAATAAAACACCAAATTCATTTTAACATTTTATTTTTTAGGATTAAATTAATATACACAAAATACATAACATAATAAAAAAATATAATAAATCTACAATAAATAAAAATATATTTAATTTGCCCATCATTATTAAGAATTCTAATTCTAGAAAATAAACATTCAATTCAGGATTTCTTTTTGGTTATGACAGGTTTCAAGTTGAGTAGTAATTTTGTGTTAAAATTTACAGTTTGCCTTAACGTATTGGATATGTCTACTTAGCCAGTTCCACATATTTAATAAATGTATAAAAAGAAATGGATTATTTCAACATAGGTACAAACAATAAAAATGTTATTACTGATAGTAGTTTACTACTAAGTATTTACTTTTTCTGAAAATAGTCAGGAAAAAACTATAAAATAATATTAAATATAGTTGAGAATGTATAAATACATAACATTTATACGAATTAAAAAGTTTTTAACAATATAAGTAGAGATACCAAGCTTCACAGTTATATGACTTAAAATTATTCATGCTATCATCTCATGAAATATTTTAAAATACTTAGCAAACACCTATATTACTACAAAGTAATGCCTATTTAAAAATAAAAATATATTGCTACAAGGCTATACCTCCGTCATAAGCCAAACCCCCATAACTGACAAATTACAAATATTTGAGGTTATTTGACCATTCTGATACTAACCCATTTTTCTTTTTAAAAAGTAAACAAAATACCAGCAATTTTTATTCTGTATCCTAAAAAGTCAACTTGATTCTACAATGTAACTAACATTTTTCTAGAGAATTCTTATCAAAAATCAACCCAAAACATTAAATCACACTTATTTATATAACTAGTTGAAAACATTATTCAAAACTTGTCTTTAATTCAACAAAAGCAGCTATATTGGTAACACATATTAAAATACTGGCACTAATACATTTCTTTTATTGCATATATCTTCATTCTATAGTTTGTGTAGTTACTGGGGCAGTATAGATATTTTAAAGTTTTATTTGTGAGCCAAGCCTGTCTTGTTTCAAGATTAGTGGTCCATACAACAATATTTTTAATTTTGTTGTGTTACAAAGTTTTCCTTTTTTAACTGTATGGTTTTGCTTGAGAGTCTGTGCAGGGGGACCGGAAGAGTCTACTTGGACCAGGCAAGGGTTTAGTAGATTCCTTGGGAGTGAAGAGACTACTAGGAGAAGCAGCTACGGAGACTCCACTGAAAAGAGGCATAATATCAATTATTGATTTGTGCACCTACAGAATAATAAATAAATATATATTATTCTAGAGCTCTTAAAAGTATGTTCCGAAATATAATGATATAACAAAATTTATAGGAAATTCATCATTGAAGAAGTTATAACTCGAACCTACATAGAGATTCAACGTTGATATTTAGCTGCAGTTAACTAGGACTCGTGTAATTATTTATTGCAATGCAAGAACCTAATTAAACCTACAGTTATACTTTACTAAAATATGTAAAAGTTCCCTTCAGTTCCAAATTTGTCTTCATATTGCACTAATTTTCTTACCAACATACAAAGTATTTGTGATAATTATACAGGATGGTCCAAATTTAACAGGTTTATAAGATATTACTAAATTAACAGGGGATAAAGCACATTTGATCTCACCTTTTTTTTTAAATAAACATGTTATTTTATATCCCGTTATAAATTCCTCCCCTAAGTAAAATGTAAGCGTGATTTTTAAAATATCATTATTTTGTTTGGGTGTTCAAATAAAAAATGGTAAATGGTATTACCTTGAAAATTTGTACCCCTTGAAAAAATAATAAGAGTATGACAATGGATTTTACATATGTAACTATGTCAAATTATTAAATTGTTTTTGAAAATAAGATATTTATTTGAGATAATAAATTATGATACAATTAGAAAATCACCCTATAGCTTCTAAAATGGATTTATAACATAACTAAGCATTCCATGTTTTATTTCTCAAAAAAGTTGAGAATGGTGGGTTATAAGGTTTCGATATCTAGTTTTATCATGTAAAAGCGTCAAATTTTGACCACCATGTATAATAAAACAGCTAAGTTTAAATAAAATACTTTCTTACCAAAGAATGCAGCAGTGGAATCAATGGGGACTCTATTTGATTATAAAAAAATGCTTTAATTTGAGCCCATCTCATCAAGTTGAAGATTAACCATGCCTCCTTCTCGTTTTTCACCCTTAAACAAATAAGGAAAGAATTTAAATAAACAAAAATAATACTAAACGTTAGTTATTTCCAATTTTATTTTTTTTTTAACTTTAGTAGTTTGAATAATCTTTAAAATGGGAAAAGACAGATATTGCTAAAATTGTATAAATAATAACACATACAAAAGAAGTTTTATATTGTATATATAAAAGTAATTTAATTTCTGTTTAAATTAAAATCCTATGAATTAATCTTTTAAAATATAAAATTTCTGTTAAATAACATTATTATAGGTACTTTGTTTAGAAAATTAACTTTAAATATATTACTGCATAAATTTTTAATTTGATTTCAAATAAATGTTTTCTTTTATTACTAAGAAGGCACAATATTCTATACTATATAGAAGTATATTAATGTTACTGTCCCAGAAGGGTGGGTGTACAAATATTATGAATATACAAATGTTATGTATAATAAGTGTCCTTTGAATGAGACAAAAAAATACGAACCTTGTCCTGTCTCTCCTTCTATTTAACCTCTTGTAAAGTTTAGTTTTCTTTTTGTTGTATCTCACTTTTAGATTTCCTTGTATCAGTTTTATATTTAATAAAAGCTAGTTATTCCTAATTAGTATTTTGGCCAATACAACTTCTTAGCAATTTACCTAAAATTTTAACCCCAAAAATGTAGTTGGAAATACAAATTAAGTATGTAATAAAGTGAATGTTTTTGAAGGAATTTTATGTACTTATTATTAATTTACTTACCAAGCGGTTTTTCTTCTATCTGTAGCAGTAAATTGCTTGCGATTTTTTTTTGTCAACCATTATAATACTTCAACTAAACGAACTCAAATTGAACTTTTATAATATATATTCAAAGTACCTCTCGACACTCACATAAATTGGCTGGAAAATTGAAAAATTCTAAAATACTAATCAGTAAAGATTCAATCTGTCAAAGTAGCTGACAGAGCAAGCGACGTTGCCAGTTCACGTCGTCGTTAAAAATTAATAGAAGAATGCAACCCGTACTACACCTTTAGTAAAAGATTTGGGTTTAACGAGTCATTAGATATTTAACGATCGTTGTTGCAACCCGCTGTAAGTATGTAAATCAGTCTACTGCTTTTTTGAATTAAAATAAATATGTTACTTAACAATCACTGTTTTTCGTTATTAGAAAAAAGGGTTGTGGACATAGAATAATTTATTTTGCTACAAATTTTTCTGTAAAAAGCAATTTATTCTATGTCCGCAACAGATTTTTTTTCTATAATAATTTTTCCTAGACAGTCAAAATGTTTAGTATATTTTTGGGTTTCTCTCTTTTATAAACCCTTAAACTAAATTACAGTTCTAAAAAACAAAATCGTTAAGATGTACACAATAGAAGCTGGTGAATTTTAAAAATGGACATAGAATAACCTGGTTCTCAGGCGACGATGTATGAATCAGACAGAAGTAGAATAGCATTATATTGTAATGAGTAGTTTACATAGAAAACAAAACAATTTTGCACTGCATAAATACCAACAGACTAGTCAATTTAAAATAAAATAATAAATAAGTAATTCAAAATATTGTATTAGTAAACATTCAGCAGGACAGATATTTAAATGCAGAAGTAGTATCAATAAAATAAAGTTTATGAGATGCTAGTACTTCTTAGTAGTATTACTAAGTCTTTCATTATATTTCTTTTCAGTGAGTCCAATGATCTTGGGGAATTGGAAACGTCGCCTAGCAATATTGGCGAAGAACTTAGTATTGATATGATTGTAGAATAGGAATATAACGTAATATTTTTGAATTTAATTTTGTGAAGTGTTTAATTAGGTAATTAAGTATCCTGTTTCGTGTAAATACAAAGTAACTAATATTTTTTTCTGAATTTGTAACTTTTCTCCCAGACTTTAAATATTTTATGTCATATTAGTAGCAGTTAGAAAGAACGTGCATTAACATTTTTGAGCCTGATAACATTTGACATATCTTGAGAACAGTGGCGTAGCCAGAAATTTTTTATGGGAGGAGTTTCTGAGTAATATGGGGGTGTCCATCAACAAAGTGAAATATTTCAGATAAGATTGTTTTTATTAAAAATAGCAAATTTTTTATAAAACGATTAAAAAAAGTAAATAAAAACAAACAGCGATCGGCGCCAATACGATGGCGGAAACGGTGACGCGAAGGCACTCTATGGGGGGTTCTGACCCCCCAACCCTCCCTGCCTCCGTGGCTACGCCACTGCTTGAGAATATAATCTATCCGAATGACATGATATTCCAATTAGGCATTCCGACGAGCTATCAAACAATAGCTACCAGTGGGAAAGATCGTATATCTAAGAGGGTTGCGACATAGCTTTTCATCTTGGATGCTATTTTTATTCGAAATACTCCAAGTCTGCCAATTTATGAAAAATATATAAGTGTTTTTTTTTTAAATAATATTTACCTTATGTTTGACATAAAATATTAAAATGTAATCCATTATGCATGATTTCACGTAAGTTATGATAACAGAATCATAGCAAATATCAGTAGAATTATGCAGACGCGGCAAGTCAAAGATAAGGCCTCACCAAGATCTACTGGCAACAAAACTAGTTCGCTGCCGGTATTTTCAAGCTTTTACATTTCAACTTTTATATTGTAAAGGTATAAAAATAAAATTCCGCTTTTTGTAAAAATTTTTAAATATTTTTTAAAAAACCAATTTTTATTAACGAACCTAAAAGTGGCGCAGTCAGTAGGATTGCCTAACGGTGTGACAACAAAAATCGTGTCAAATCGGTATATTTTAATAGTTTAACAGCAAATCGAAATCGCGAAAATTGGTAAAAAAAAAGGACCAACATTGCCGAAGTTTGAAGATCCCAGACGAGGACCACATCGCCAAATCCAGCTAGTTTAAGATCCTGGACAAGAACCACATCGCCAAATCCAGCTAGTTTTAAAAAAAACAGGGAAAACAGACAACATCGCTTGACCCTATTGACACGACAACAATAATCCTGGGAATTGCGTAAGAAATTTTGCTCTCCTTTCATTTTACACATTTTATTTTTGAGTTGAATATATTAGTGATTTTTAATTTTCATTTTTGGGATAAAATAAAACATTGAGGGAATTGAATATATTTTATGTCTGAGATAGACCAATTAGTGAATATTTTTAATAGTACTCTTAGGACAGATTCCTCATTAAATTTAGATAATTTACCTCCTATAGTTCAGTAAGTTCAGATTCAAAAAGTTCAGATTTAAATAGGTCAGATAAAACTAATTATCCACTTTTGCAATTATATGTAGACACTATTCCAAATTTTAATGGGAACCCCCATATATTAACTGTATGTTTAGATGCTTGTGAAAACTCAATTGGACAATTTTCTGATCGGCAACATAATGCAGCCACAATTAATGCTTATATTTTAAGAGCTATTATTGACAAATTAACCGACAGAGCTTTGAGTTTAATAGGCTCCCGTAGTGAATTAACTGTTTGGATAGATATAAAAAATTTATTAATATTAAGCTTTGGTGATCAGAGAAATTTGGACTGTCATGTACAAGACTTGATGGCTTTACATCCTCTTAAAAATGAACCCCCATGCCGTTTTGGTATGCGTTGTTAAGACTCTAGAAGTTTAATTGTATCAAAAATAAACGCGTTAAATTTTTTGCCTGAAGAAAAACACATCAGACTTCAAAATTATAACAATTAACAATTTTATTCACGGCCTTACAAATCAATTACAAAATAATGTTCGTTTACAAAACCCAGATAGCTTAGAACAAGCAATGACATTTGTAATCGAAGAAGAAAATTTTCTCTATAGTTCACAAAAAGGTAATTTTTCAGATTTTCAAAATTATAGACCTGCAAATAGCCGAAATAACTATTCGAAACCTCAGCAAAACATCCACCACAACCATTACAAAAACCATTTTATTCTAAAATTTTAACAGATTTCATTCAAACTTCAATAATTTTCCATGACAAAACAGAAACAAAATCAATTCGTTCAGAGACTCCAGTTTAACCAATCAAATAATTTCAATATTAAAAATTTTAATCGCAATTCAAATAATTTTAGAAATCCAAATTTTGGTCAATTTTAACCGAAATAGTCAAATTTCAAGAAATACCAATTTTAATAACAGATCAAATAGTATCCCAAAGCCAATGGATATGTCATCTGAAAATAAATAATCATAGCCTTTACTTCGAAAATTCTGATCAAATAGAAAAACAATTCGAAAATTCATTTAAAAATCAGTATAATAACGGTGAATGCTATTTCCCAGAAAATGATTTCTCAACATTTAACACAACTAACGACAGTAATATTCCTTATCAAAAACAAGACATTAACACGAATCCAACACAGCTGACATATTTCCATGAACTCACTCTAGGTCCGGATTATACTTCTTTTGATAACCAAGTTTCAAATTTTCTCGTGGGAGCCCTAACTCAAAGAGAAACGTAATTAATCTGAATTTAGTAAGATCAAATTTACATTATATTTTTATACCAGAAATATATGCAAAGTTCTTAATAGGCACTGGTAGCAGTAAAAGTTTAATAAACTCATACATTTTATAAAAAATATATGTCTGTCGAAGATTTTAAAATACAAACAGTGCATAATATAAGACATCATAACGAAGTAATTAAAATTCCCATTTTTAATGTAGAAGAACAAAAATTTCATGTTTTTGATTTTAATAAAAATTTCGAAGGTCTTATCAGTTCAAATACCAATAATTCTCGAATCCGAAGATTTAATTAAATTCGACCCTAATATAAAAATAAAAAATTATAAAATTGTAATTTCTGAAAAATCAACAAGGATAGTTAAGGAACCAGTAAAAATAAAAAAAGAAAAACAAACTAATATTGACACATTATCAATAATTTCTATAAATGCTCTAGAAAACGAATCACCTATTAATAACCCAGGAGACATTCACAATGACACTCTACAATTTCTTAGACGTTTATCTGAAAATCTAGTAGATGACAATTTTCACAATAGTACCCCTAACCAATCTAAAATAAATATATTATCTGACATATAAGTTAAACGTCCTGATAAACCATCAGGCACTGATAGTTTTTTCAATCAACCCAGCATACGACAGCTAACGAAACTACCAATGACGGAATAAAAATAATACTCGAAAAAATAAATAACAAAATTAATCGAATCCTAAATTTTGACCAAATTTATCATAAATTAACTATCAAACAAGAGAATTACGAAAACCATAATTTTATTAGTCAAAATTCCCTCCGAAAATAACGAAGAATTAATTCTTGAATTTTTAAAGATAATACTATTCATAATAAAACTTATTGCATGTATTTTCATACTGATAAGCTATACAAATGTTTCAATGAAGTGTATTTAACACATTTCTCAGAAAAAGGTCCAAAAACTAATCTAATGTACTAAATTAACTGATAAAGAAAACCAAATTTAACTCATGAAAAATCATCATGAAAGCAAGACAAATCATAGGGGAATTTTCGAGAATATAGAAAAATTATTATTGGATAGGAATCAAAGATTCTGTTACAAATTTTAATAATTCATGTGATATTTGTCAAAAACTAAATACGCTAGGAAAAATCCTTATTCGTTTCTAATGATAACAGAAACTGCATCAAAACCATTTCAAATTGTACACGTTTGACTTATTCTTTTTTGATAAACAAATTTACTTGACCATTGTTGATTCCTTTATTAAATTCGAACAGGCTCACCAAGTAACAGGTAAAATCGCTATTTACATAAGTATTAAATATTTTGCATATTTTAGTGTTCCAGAAAAATTAATTCTAGATAATAGGACAAATTTTTTTTTTCTTTGGTGTACGGCTTCAACATCTAAGATCATTAGCCTTGTGTTCTATATAGGTTATGGATTGTACTAGTAGTTTAATACTCCATAGTGCAGGAGTATTAGTACTATAATACTCCTACACCCCTACAGACAGGCCTTGTTACTGTTTCCTTGCGCCACTTTAGGAACAGCACTGTTAATTAGGACCCAACAGTGATTGGTCGAGTGGGGAATCCTACCAAGGCACCAGAATTAATTTTAAATAATTAAATTAAATAAAAAAATCCCGGCCAACGGTGGGATTCGAACTTGGGACCCTTGGATCTACAGGCAGAGACTCTACCACTGAGCCACCCACCCCCTGAACAGAATTTAATAATGAAGTTATACAGGAAATTTTAAAATTACACAAAATTACATTTCACAACAGTTGGTCTCCATGAAAGTAACGCTATGGGGCGATTTCATTCATCAATAATAGAACATCTAAGAATACTTAAATCGATGCACCCAAATGATACCAAAAATATTTTGAACTATTCTATATTAGGATATAACAGTAGTATTCATAGTACTAAAAATTTCACGCCATTTGAATGAACCTTTGGTCATAGACATTCAAGAAATCCAAATGAAATATTTTTGCCTGTCACATTTTATCCGACCTACAAACGATAACAAAAAATAAACTTATAAACCAGACCAAGTCAGATTCTAAGAATATCTTTGTTACATTTCAAATAGTAACCATATTAGATAATAAAATTATTACCCAAATTAATCAATTAAACCCATCATTTGAACAAACCCATAGAGAAGAACGTGGGCTTCTTAATGGTTTAGGTACAATAATTCAATCAATATCTGGAAATTTAGATCAAAACGACGTCGAAAAATATGACAAATAAGCCATAGAAAATCTTTCGAAAAATCAAAATAAGATGAAATATTTAAATAATGAACTACCTTAGTCTTAGCTCACAATCAACTAAAATTAAAATCTCAAATAAACAAAATATAAAACATTTTAGAAACCGCTTAAATCCAAAATAAACAAACTTTTGAAAGTATCTATGTATATTCAAGAAGTCACAAATCAAATATCAATTTTATTTCAAAATATTTACGATTTACTAGAAAAAAATTGAAACTGCTATCACATTTTGTAAAACCAACAAATTACCATTTGAACCAATTTTAAACAATATACTTAAATTCGAAAAAATAATGCAAATTAAAAGTTATATTAAAAACAATAATAGTTATTTATGATATAAGTGCTAATAGTGATATTTTATTCTTATAAAATCACTTTTAGAACGTATATCATGCACTATTTTTTCTACAAACACCATTAAAAGTCCAAATTAACGCATACCTATTTTACATTAATTAATTGATAAAATAATAGCCTCGAGATTATCAGTTTTGAATCCAATTTCATCTAATCTATTCATGAAACAAGTTGCCAAGGTAAACAAAAACCGAATTTGTTGATTTGTCTTTG